TGAAATTGGTTATTCATTGAGTTTAAAATTAAAAATTGGATTATTAATGTTTGAAGTCAACCCGACCCTGAAAGAGAGAGAGAGAGAATCACGTTCCGTTTCCAATTCCAAATCTCCCCTCCACGCGCCTTCCCACTCACGTGGGCTCCACGCTTTGATTTTAGTCAACACCCTTCAACAAAATCCAATGCCACACAATTACATACATAGAGGCGTTTTTTTTTACCCAACAAGATAAGAAAGAGAGTAGGTAAGATTTAAACATATTTTCTATTATCTTCTTTTGCTACTAACCTCAAACAATTTCTAAAAATATATGTCTTTTTTGGGTATATGTTTATATTTGGCTAAAAATATTTAAATTAGTCACTTATATTCTAAGTTTGTGATAAATGATCTGTCTAAACATACATAAATTTTAGGTTTAGATTATCATTTTTATGGATTCAATCTCAAATCAATTGACAATAAGAGAAATAATTCATTTATATTATAAATTCAAGGAATTGGCTTAATTTAAGTTTTTGAACTCTCATATCATATCAATATCCATCTCAAAATTAATTGACAATTAGAGAAGTAGTTCAAGACTATTACAAATAGGATTCTTTTCTTTTGAATGTGGTATCCTCAACACAAATCTCCACCGTCTTAGAGAAATAAATGGGAAGAAAAAATTAATACTTTTAGAAGTGGTTGAAAGAAAATTATTAGATGAAAAAAGGGGTTGTTTCTTGATTCTCGAACGAGCATAAAAGGAGAGAGAGAGAGAGAGAGAGAGAGAGAGAGAGAGAGAGAAGGGCAAAAGTAAGAGTGGCAAGACATTGTAGAGTAGAAGAAAGGAGAAAAAAGAGGAAACGAATGGACACGAACCTCTCATAAAAATTTATTATTGTCAAACCTTTAGCTTTGGGACGTCACTTTCATTTCACTTCTTCCATTGCAAATTTCATTCATTCACGCTCTCTCTTCCAACTTCTCAGTTTCATTGCTCTGACGCGGAATCCCCACCCAGGAAAATTTTTCTCTTTTAAAAGGGTTCTCTCTCGGTTTCCAATTCGATTTTCTTGCGTTTTTCAATTCATTCTCTAACAATCAACTACTTCCTTGACTGCCCCGATTGAAATAACATTCGGGAAAGTTTTGTTGTCTGATTTTGATTTGGGGGTTTGTTTTTCTTCGTGGCGTTTTGAATTGCTAATTTGCGGTTTGAGTTGAGCCCACCCAGTTGTTGTAAGACTTGGATTATATCTTCCGTTGATTCGCTGGAGAGGCGTCTTTGGATTATCCTTGGTGGTTGGTTGAAATTTCTATCGCCAATCAGAAACCCTAGGATTTGAGGTTGGTGGGTTTTTAATTTGATGGCTGCCGCTGCGATTTTCTCGTCTTTACGAAGGAGGAGATCGCCGTCGCTGGAGGCTTTCTTGGCCCCCGTTGACCTCTCCGATGTGGCCTTAGTTCAAACCCTAGCGTTAGTTGCGACCGAGCTCGTTTCGCGATTTTCAGACAAGGCCTTCTTCTTCCAGCGCCGGAATTCGCGATCTCTGATACGGAGGCTCCAGGTTTGCCTCGTCTTTTTGGAATTTTTGAAGGATTCGGATGCCACTTTGCCTTACACCGCCTTGCTCTGTTTGAAAGAGCTTTATTTATTACTCTACCGCTCCAAGATACTTCTTGATTATTGCTCCGAATCGAGCAAGTTGTGGCTCTTGCTTCAGAACCACTCCATCTCCGGCCATTTCAATGATTTGAATTTAGAGTTGTTGACCTTTTTGGATGTGTTCCCTCTTGAGGAAGTTGAATTGGGGGTGGACATTAGAGAGCAGGTGGAGCTCTTGCAGAAGCAGTTGAAAAGGGCGAGGATATTTATTGATGAACGTGATGAAGCGTTGAGGATTCGCTTCCTTTTGTTTCTTGAGGAATTTGAGAACGGGCGGCTTCCCAATCCGAGAGAAATGAGGGAGTTTTTTGTGGACAAGTTGGGGATTCGGAATGCCAAGAGTTGCAGAGCTGAAATTGAGTTTCTAGAGGAGCAGATTGTCAATCATGAGGGCGACATCGAGCCCACGGTAGCAGTGCTATATGGTTTCGTTGCATTTACGAGATACAGCAGGTTTTTCCTCTTTGGGTTTGAGGAAGATGAAATCGAATCAGGTGCAACGAACCAGAAGAAGCTGAAGAAGAATTTGATAACACAGGAAATTGCCGAGACGTTTTTAACCATTCCAAGGGATTTCTGCTGTCCAATATCACTGGATTTGATGAAAGACCCAGTGATAGTTTCTACAGGCCAGACATACGATCGCAGTTCAATCGTCCGGTGGATGGAAGAAGGGCACTGCACTTGCCCGAAGACGGGGCAAATGCTCATCCATACCCGCCTCGCTCCCAACCGTGCTTTAAGGAATTTGATCATGCAGTGGTGCATAGCCCACGGAGTTCCTTATGATCCACCAGAGGGGATGGATCCATCTGCAGAAAGTTTTGCAACGGCTTCCCCCACTAGAGCTGCACTAGAAGCCAACAGAGCGACAGCTGCAATTCTTATCCAACAGTTAGCAATTGGATCACAAGATGCGCAGACCATCGCTGCTCGAGAGATTCGTTTGTTGGCGAAAACAGGGAAAGAGAACCGTGCTTTTATTGCAGAAGCCGGTGCCATCCCTCATCTCCAAAAGTTGCTGGCTTCCCCCAACCCCGTTGCACAGGAGAATTCGGTGACTGCTATGCTCAATCTCTCAATATATGACAAGAACAAAAGTCTGATTATGAGTGAGGTAGGGTGCTTAGGATCAATAACCGAAGTGTTGAGATTTGGACACACTACAGAAGCACGGGAAAATGCTGCAGCTACATTATTCAGCCTGTCTGCAGTTCATGACTTCAAGAAGAGAATAGCAGAGGAGGGTGGTGCAGTTGAAGCCTTGGCAGGTTTGTTGAGAAATGGTACACCAAGAGGAAAGAAGGATGCCGTAACAGCCTTATTTAATCTGTCAACCCACACCGATAACTGTGTGCGGATGATCGAGGCCGGGGCAGTAACAGCACTTGTAGGAGCATTGGGGAATGAAGGTGTTGCTGAGGAAGCAGCAGGTGCATTGGCCTTGATTGTTAGACAGCCCGTTGGTGCTGCAGCAGTGGGTAAAGAGGAGAGAGCCGTGGCAGGATTGATAGCAATGATGCGATGTGGGACGCCGAGAGGAAAAGAGAACGCAGTTGCAGCTTTGCTTGAGTTATGCCGAAGTGGGGGAGCTGCCACAACCGAGCAAGTATTCAAGGCCCCCGCTTTGGCTGGATTGCTCCAAACGCTTCTATTTACCGGTACCAAGCGAGCAAGAAGAAAGGCTGCTTCACTAGCCAGAGTGTTCCAAAGATGCGAGCATGTTGCAATGCATTATGGTGGATTGGGTGTTGGTTATGCCTATGCAACTAACTCGGCCTCGGATCCGAGCTTTACAAGCGAGGTGTCTGTGCCAATATCCATCTCGGTACCCGTCGTATAGTTGAACCGTTCACCATTGTCTAGTAGGCTTCAGGCTTTACATGGGTTCCCAATTTTGTTAAAATGTTTACAGATTCTTTAATTGAAATTTAGAAGGGAAGGATTCTAGCTCAACCATGTCCATATTTTATGAAACAATGGTTGCCATGAATCATGTAATCTACTTTTCTCTTAAAATACATGTATCATCTGCTGTGGTAGAAAACATTGGCAAAAAAATGGAGGCTATGCTTCATTCTGATCCTCGAACTAGGATGGCCTCTTTCCATTCCACCCCCAAGAAGCACAAATACCTGAAACTGGAAGTTTTATCCAATGCCTTCACCATGAGCATCTCCCAATGGGCATCCATATTTTTCAGAATTGTTCCCTATCAAATTGGTCATCATTATCATGTTGAATAGAGGATATCCCTTTCAATATCCATGAAGAAATATCATGATGTGAATACTGTTTCTAGTTGATTGATTGGAGACCATTAATCAACTACTATATGCGAAGCTATCAATTACCATTATCAAAACGACAAATGCTAACAGTTCAACAGATATCAGAACTTCAATTCTTGCACTATTCATTTCCCTTATAAGGATTGAAAACAAATGCTGGTGTTGTTAGGTGGCAAAGTTATGAGCATTGGGTTGGGGAAGTCCCACTGAGTGGCAAAAATGTGTTCACATCAACAGTGAGTTGTTAGGCAATGATCAAGAATGGTGGGGCATGGCTTCACCACTCGTGTACTGCAATGCAATGAGATGAAGGAAAAGGCACTCAAAGTGGAAGCAGAGTTGGCCATTTTCTCCAGCAACCATTGGTCTGTATCTGTTTCTGTATCTGAATAAAAACAAAAAATCAACATGGTGGACTCATTATGATGATGGGTTACACATTATTTTCAATTCAAATGCAAGCTGCTGTTCTTTTTCCTTGCTCTAAAAGCAACTTTGCACCCACTAACCCATTCAACAGGCCCTTCCCACATTGAGATTTTACAGCACAACTCCAGCCATCCCAACTTCTGGAGCTTCTTAGGTGAAACTTGAAGGGAACGAGTTGAATTTGGTTGGGCTGATTTGGTATTTCTCCATTTTTATTCCTTATATGGATAGAATTAACCCTTTTCCTCTCTATTCTTTGTAAAGTTAAACATGTAAAATTTTCACTTCCACTGTTGAATAAATTCTAATGAAGTTTTTTGTCCATAATTGTTCCCAGGCCAGATTACATGCATTTGCACATGGCTGGAGTGTGAATAACTTTAAGTTGTACAGCTCTAAACAGAAATAAAGAGAAGGAAAAAAGATCATGGAAAATGAGAATAAAATTTGTGCAGTCCCAAATTAAAAGTAATTATTAATTGTCCTTCCTCATACTAACCGCAGTAAAAATTTGAACCCAAGAACCAAAGCGAGATAACCAAAGATTAGCAGCAGTCAGAGGTGAAACTTGGACGCTGTTTCTTTCAGCAGATCTCTGTGTCCATTTCAGAGTGGAATTTGCAGCAAGATTGTCCTTCATCTTCATGAACTTACTGTAAGTCGAAATCACCATTTCAGCGTATTCAAAAGTTACCTACAATAGCCCAAAGAATCAGAAAGTGATACTCAGAATCTTGAACATACCTCAAATGATGAGAAATAAATATCACACTCCAGATGATTCAGATGGAGCATCAGATATGAGATACTTACCACTTGGCATTAAACAAAAAGAGATTTTTCTATTAGGATGTCAATCCTCAAGGGCTGTTGGAAGTCTTTAAGGAATCAGCAAAACAAATATGATGAAATATTAGACAAACTTTTTCTTAACATGTTAGAGGGTTTCATGATAATACTTCACTGATATCTCCCTAACAAAAGATAAACCATTAATCTTCTAAGACTAAAGGAAACAGAGAATAAATTGGGAGTAAAGTTTTGTGTTCCCTATCATGATCTCTGAAGCATAAGTGAATGATAGTCAAATTCAGTAATAATGCCACCTTTGAAACAGGCCAAGAGAGACTAACCTTTAAGGTAACTGTGTTTCTGTATCAAGACAATGAGTTTCTTTCTATAACCTTGAAAAGGCAAGAAACTCTTCACCACTCTCTCAAGAGCTAGCTTGAGATTTCACAGAAAAGCAACATGCATGGTAATCTGAAGTTTCTAATTACATTTTGCAAGTGAAGATTGAAACAAACTAACCCAATATTTCACAGTACTTCATGTTCCTATAGAAGGAACCAGAGTTCTAAAAAGTTCCCAAAATCAAATTATAATGTTAGAAATGAGAAAGAGAAACTAGTGCTCGTAAAACAAATGACAGAGGAAGTACTATGGACAGAAGACAATGCACAGATTTTTATTTAAAAGAATACAATGATGTGGCAACATAGAATCTTGGGAGTACAAGGCAAGTATTATGAGGGAGTTTTTAAATCAATGAGATCATCTGAAAAAGGACATGGATGAGAGCCCAAATGTTCCATTCATAATAAAATATGTTACATGTGGAAGCTATGGTGAATCAGTAATTCAGAAAAACAATCAACCTATGATCAAAATTTCTCTGCTGGAGTAAGGTGCCCTATTTGTTCTACAACGTTATTTACACTCCTCACATTCCACCAAAATTTTCCGTGATCTCTCTGTCTTTTTTCTTCAACCACGACATTGGAATCTTTTCTCGCCGATTGAACTTCTTGTGGGTCAGATGAACCAGGATTCTCCGTCAAGAATTGCTCCCAGAATCCATCATTGACTCCAGTTGGTACTGGAGCATTGACTCCAGCTGCTTGATCTCTCGAGGCTACAGATTCCGGAGCAACGGTTGCCACGGGCGGCTCCAAATTCATGTCAATTCCAGGTGATTTACATCGAAACTCCTCGCTAACTTGTCTGTGAGACATAGCAGGGCTGCTGGCATGACTTGTAGATTCATCCAACTCCAGGTATGAGCTTGAATCAAGTGGACTAACTTTTTGACCAAAACTATGGATAATGCCTTCCCAAAAGATCAGAGATGTCTCAAAAAGTTCAAACTGCTCTCTTTTCAAAATTGGATCAAAACTACAATCCATATTTTCTCTAGCCACGGATTGAGTTGTCCCCCCCATCTGGTCATCCTCAAGCTTGTCTTCATTGTTGTTGTAAGCAATTCTAGGCAATCTCCTCTTTCTCTCAGGAGTTTCCAATCGTGGCAGAAGATCCAAGCGAAGTCCTGGGACCACCAAACTGATAAACGTTTGCATCTGCTGTTGCATATGTTCGAACCGATCTTTCAAATTCTGCATTTGTAATCCAACTCCCTGATGCTCTTGCTCGTGTCTTCGTAACTCCAGAAGAAGCTGCTCTTTATCCTGTTTAAGCCTTTCAATGTCACCTTTCAAACCCTTTCTTTCCACTTCAGTCAGCGGAGAGGATATTCCTTGTCCATGAATGTTCTGTAAAGAATGACTATGGACTGGTTTTCTCCTGTGGATGTTCTTCATCAGATATGGCTGACCTCTAACAAAATCCTCATTAGCAAATTCCCATTGCTCAGGATCGACCTTCCTGAACCCCTAAAGCAATCAACAAAAGATTCAGACAACAAAAGCAAAAACATAACCACAACACTACAAGAATGAAATTTATCATCATCTTACATAAGTATTGAGCTGCCTGATGAAGCTGGAGAAGTTGCTATGCTTGAAGAATTTTGGCAACAGAACTGATGAGAATTCCAGTGGATTCCGAACAACAAAGCTTTTATTACTAGGAGTCCATGAAACAATCGAATCAGTCGAAGGATCATCGACCATGTCATATGTTTTGACTAAAAATGGAGGCAGCGAACTCAAGCCGCCGCCTCCCTGAGCTTCATCCATTCTATAACCTAACCCTCTCCAATCCCCAAAATGAAACCCCCAAATTCAAAATCCAGAAGCTATACATACATTAACAGCTCCTGATCCGTATACCGAAATTGCAAACAGAAGTCCCAAGTATCAAATCCCTTGCTAAAGAAGATCAATAGAAATCTAAGAAATTCACCACCTGGAACAACTTCGAGAACAATAATGATAGTCCACTCAATGGAAAAGGACTCCTCTAAACCTCTAAAGCGAAAACCCCGAGCTGGGTCTTCATTTTGACTACCAAAAACATCGCTAAATCTCAGAGATTCCCGTCGGAGCTTGATTTCCGGATAAACCCAATTCAGAGCTCTTGAATTCCCATAAGGGATTTTGTAAGAGAAGATGAATTTTGATTTTCCATCGACTCTGCCCCAGTCAACTCAAGTAAAATCTGCTCAACTTATAGCCTAAAAAAGACAAAAGAAAAAAAAGTTGCGGAATCAAATATAACGGTTCGAACTAATAGAATGCTTATGCAACCTAATCAATTCGATTCAACCAATACAAATGGGGGAAAAAGCGACGACAAAAGATTCCCAGATTCGAGGGCAAACTGTAGACACTAGGTACCTGTAGTTGCACTGCACCAAAACAAGCAGTTCTTTTTCCTTCGCTGGATTAGGAGAAATTATAGTTCTGAAATAAAGAAAGCTTTAGTCGACGAGTAGAGTACCAAACATGGCCTTGAAAAAATCATCAGTCGCTTAAAAATGGTGGAAAAAGAAAATAAAAAGACGGAACTTGGAGGATAAGGCAACAATTACAAAGCGTCCAATTATTGAAATTTGCGAAATTGAAGGAGGTGTACGTGTAAGATAAAGATTGGCCGTTTTTTCAAACTACGGGGAGATTTTTCATTTAACGATTTTTTCTTTTTTCCTCATAATAAAAAAAAAAGTTTGGGTCAAATTTAACCAAATTTTTAATTTCATTAGATTATATTATAAACTTAAATAAATTGTAAAAAGTAATGTCTGTTCCACGAGAATCTCAGTAAGAGAAAATTCGAATTTATGAACTTGATTTGTATTGAATATATGTTGTGTTACAATCTCTAATGTATGATCAGATGTGAATTTTAATTCGAAGGCTTGTGAGCTTGTTCTCGAATCAATGGGTCTACGCTTTCAGCTTCTAGCGTATCGAAGAATCTTTAAAATCTTCGGCTGTGAAGCTTGACGCTTGGCGCTTGATGAAGTCTTTGGCTCGCTTGATGAAATCTGCAGCTTGTTGAAGTACTTTAGTTTTGCAACGTGTTCTTCGGTCGGTCGCTTGGCGAAGAGAGGGTTCAGAATTCTTAAAGTCTCGTAGTCTTCAAGTCTTTAGTTCTTCAAGTCTTGTTAGTTTTGGATGCTTGGCACTCTAAACGGTTGTAGATGACTCTGAATGCACCGAATGCTCTGAATTTCCAATGCTTCTCGATCTTTTTTTTCTCTTCCTCTAGATGAGAGGTGACCGATCCTATTTATTGAGCTTGGTGGGTCTTGGGCTTTAATGGGCTGTGGGCTTGGGTCCAATCTCTTTATGGGTTTTGATCCAATTAGTTGATTTCATCGGATGACCATAAGAGAGACACGTGGCACAATTTGATTTGCCGATTTAAAATTAATTTAGGACACGTGTAATTTTATGATTGGTCTAAAATATAATTTTAAATTTTGATGTGGCATTTCGTAATTTGTCAAAATTTCTCATTCAACAATGTCCTTAGTTTAGTTTAAGCTAGATATCAAATATTTATTTATCATTTTAAAATTTTTAAAAGTCTCAATTTAATAAATTATGATTACAGGTCTTTCATACAAAAATGTGTTAAAATTTGTTAATGGAAAATTGATGTGTAATTAAGTGTGGTTACATATTTAGAAAGTGGGCATACCCCTTGAAATAAATGGATTTTGTTGTGATGATTAGGTCGGATTTTATTGATGGGTGGGTTGAGTTTCACATAGCATCTGAGTGAAATGACGTCTACCTATCTAAATATGTTAATGAAATAGAATAATTCAATGATACATAACTTTTTGTTAACAAAATTCAACCATTTTTATGGAAAAACCTAATTGAAAATTGGTATACATTGAAGATTTAAGAAATTTACAATAATAGAGCCAAATTGAGAATTGCCTAAAAGAATATGAACAATGCTATATATTTAGTGTTTATTTTATTACAAAATATTTGTATTTGGTTCTGGGCGTTCAAGAATTTGGAGCGTTGATTCTATCTACTATTGTCTAAAAATAATATGTTATTAATCACGAGATAAACCAAAAAATAACCCATTTTGAATAGTAAAATTTAATAAGGATATTTTCATGGGTACTTAATTTTCTTATTATGTTACCATGGCGGGTGGCGTCATGTAGTGGGCTTGTGGCCCAATGGGATACCCCCTCCCCGATTCTAGCTCCGTGGAGTGCGTAGTCAAGGCTCCCCCTCCTCCATTCAAAAACAAGCCCCACAACGTCGATTATCATGTTGAATAGTCGTCGACGCTCTCGTTTATAGGGATCCAATGGCAAAACCAAACGATAGATTCTGCGTTATCAAGAATTTTTGTTTAGTTGGCTGGCATTTCCTATTTGAGCATTTTATTTTTTTACACGTTTGATTTTGGTTAGATTTGACTATTTTTATTATTGAATTTAGGTACTTTTGTAGCTTAATTTTTTGTGACGTTAATGGATATAATTTGTTAATTTAGGATTAAAAAGAGTATTAATTGGCTATTAGTTTAAGTTTGAAACTCAGATCATCTTTGTGAAGAGAATGGGGAAAAGATTTGGGAAATGAGTAGATAACTGTATAGATTTAAATTCTAAATCGTACCAAAAAAAAAAAACCAATATTGTATCTTGCCAAGAATTGAGTTACCAATGTCAAAAACTTACGTCTATTAGCAAGCTGAAACTCAATACAAATGCGGCAATTAGATCTGCAACAAGGTGAGTGAGATTAAGAGGAGTTATTAGGGACCGTGTTATTGAAATTACCGGTGAAATATATATCTCGCCAATCTCGATTGTCAATATAAGTATAGTTCATTTTAAATAAACAAAATAGAAAAAATATATATTTTTTCTTTTGATGTTGGAGGTTTAATAATTACCTCATACTTGTCGTATTAAAAAATTAATATGAAGTTGCCAATCATTCCAACATACCTCAAGTATCTATTATCATCCAAAAAATGGATGGTTTGATCCATTAGCTAAAAAAATAGAGGTCAATTTTTAATTATACTTTTTGATACTAAACTTTTACTTGTGTTTTTAGTTTTATTCTTTACCTTTAATTTATGTGATGTCGAGTTCCGTTCATCATTGAATTCTAATTTTTTTTATAATTTTAAAATACAGTTCTAATTTTGTAACTTTGATTAAGGTCTACATTTAATGTTTATCAGAAAAAAAGCTCAATTGGTTATCTACATTTGATTTTGTAGCCGGTAAAGATATAATTCAACTGATAAATTTTTTGAGAGCATGGCTCGTCAAGTTGCATCTATGTCCGATCAAAAAGTTTTGAGTTTGAATTCCTACACTTTTATAAGTTGTACTTAGAAAACAAAAAATTAATAATAAAGAAAAAAACTTGAAATCATAAATTTCAAATTGAAAAACACAAAATATTGTTTAAATTAATTAAACATTTGAACTACATTTTATCTAATGATAATAATAACATATCATTACGATAAAATGTAGTTCAAATCTTTGGTTAATTTATATCATTTATTTGTTTTTATTCTCCCTTGAATATGTATTACTTGTTTTGAACACCAAAATTCTTTTTCTTCGTCCTTTTCTTTTTCTTATAAAAATTATAAGTAGAAGATTCAATCGACTTTTGAGATGATAATAAGTGTCTTTTAACTATTGAATTATGTTTAGTTGATTTTTTTAGTATTTAATAAAATAAATTGTATGATCAGTTTTTTCAGATTTTCGTTTCTAATCTTTGTAATAAATGAGTCTAATAATTACTATAAATAGCGTTTATTCTTTTACTCAAGTAAATTATAAATTGGGTGTTATATATTATGAATATAATGTAGTGGATTTTTTTTCTTTTTTTTTTGAGTACATGATTAATGGATTAGTAAAAACGAAACCCTGTCTTTTATGAAAAGAATTTCATCATATCCCTAATGTTATAATTAGTTGTAGAACAAAGGACAAGAGAACAAGGATTTTAGAAGAATGTAAATTGATGTTGCTTCATCATTACTCTGGAAAACATGTTGTAAGATCATAGCCCATATCCTTTTAAAACATGTTTTTTTTTTCAATTTTTTAAATTCAATTAAAATTTGGATGCTATTGTAAGAAGTGCATAACTACAAAGGTCTAATTAGTAAAACAAACTTAGGATTTTTAATAATTAATTTTACAATTTTGGGGAGGTATTTAAACATTAGACCAAGTCTTTCTTTTTTCCCTTTTGTTTTTTAATTGGTTGGAGATGTTTAAAATAATAACACCATAGTTGCCACATGCTACAAGTAGGCATATGTAATTTTAAAAAATTATCTGCTTCAATTCAGTTTATATACATTATAAAAATAAAAGTAAATTTAATTCAATAGGAATCATTATTATTAAAAAAAATAGAAATGATAATATTACTAACATGTCCAAACTTTTAATATTATTTAGATGTGGATTGGGTTTGCTTTTCACTTAATAACCAAAAAAAGAAGAAGAAGAAGAAGAAGAAGAAGAAGAAGAAGAAAGAAAGAAAGATAAAACTTTTATTCAGCCAAAAATTATTTGAATTGTTAAGCATGCACAGAGATCTAAATTAAGAGGGTGTGAGTTCGATCTCCACTCCTACACGTTGTACTTAAAAAAAAAATCTATTTTTTTATTATTAATTAGTTTAGAAAAAATATCCCCCATTGTCATGGCAAGGATAATATAATATGACCCTATTAATTTGTAAAAGTCTTGGTAAATAAACGCATAATATTGGCCGTTGAAAATTTTTCTCAAAATTAATTCACCACGGTTGATCAAAATAAAGTTTTATATAGTTTTTTCTTTTTTTTTTTTTATAAATCAAAATATTATTATGATGATTCGCACTCGAACTCCAAAAGGATTAAATTCATGTTGGATAGTTTGGAAAGTGAAAAAGTCAGAGCATATATACATTTGAACTATCGGCTAATACTAACTTATGTACTATAGAATTTGCTTTTTTCTGGACATCGCAAGGGACGGGTATCCTAAATTTATTTAAATTCAATCCTTATCCGAGGACTTAGATTTTCCAAGAGATCATGTTGATCTTGTTACTTTTAAATTTTATAAATTTCTTAAAGCCCTACTGCCATATTTTGTAATTCATTACATGCTTCTAATAACAATTGTTCAGCTATGGTTGCAGATTAAAATTTACAACACTTAATTAAATTCGATGTTTTAATTGGGAGTTGAAGACCAAATTTGAATCACTTTGTTAAATAAATTTCACGATCAAAATTGGCAAATTACCATGAATTTGAAGATTTTGTGTAATTTAAATTTTCATGGGGGCCGTGAAAGCATCCATTCGTCCAGTCCAAATGATTGTAATCTTTGACTTGAAACTTTGAAAGGCCAAACCCACCGTCCAAAACGACACCGCTTCAATATGAAACGTGCTCGCTCAGTGGCTGTCAGATCAACCCCATCATCAGTTTTTAACGGATATGATTAGACTACACTGCGGGCCCCACCTCCTT